TCAATAAAAATAATAATAAGATACACAGAAATGTGCCCTGTGATAACAACACAGTATATTTCTCTAACATTTAATTTATAAAGAAGATGGTGAAAAACATAGACTTTGGAGGTAGAGATACCTAAGCTGGAGTCCAGGCTGTTCCATTTAGTAGCATACGTGACTTTGAGTAGGTCAACTAATCTTTTTAAACCTTAAATGATCTTATAAAATGGGACAAATAGTGACTACCTTATACAAAAATTAAATGAGGATATGTGTGAAAACTCTTAGCATAGTGCCTGCCTCACAATAACATCCAATAAATATTAGTGACTTTTATTTTTATACTGTTTTTGTTCATTTCAACCTTCCTATATATGGCACTCCGCATACTATAGTGAATTAAAGAGCTAGGCTCTGAAGCCAGGTTGAAATACTAGCCCCAATGCCCTGGCCGGTTTTGCTCAGTGGTTAGAGCGTCAGCCTGTGGTCCAGAGAGACCCGGGTTCGGTTTCCGCTAAGCGCGCATACTTCGGTTGCAGTTTGTCCCCGGCCCTGGTTGGGTTGTGCGGGAGGCGGCCACTCGATGTTTCCCTTTCACATCGATGTTTCTCTCTCTCCCTCCCACTCTATCTGAACAAAAAATGGAAAAATGTCCTCAGATGAGGATAAAATAAATACATAAAAGTAAAAAAAAGAAAAGAAATACTGGCCCCAAGCTTTGCCAACTAGGTGACCTTGAACAAGTTACTTAACTTCGCTGTGTCTAAATATTCTCATCTTTAAAATGGGGATAAAAACAACATTTACCTCACAAGGGTTAAATAAAATAACACATGTGGGGTACTTGGCAGATGCCTGGCAAAGAGTAAATAATGCTCAGTAAATGTTAACAATTATTAGTATTACGAACACTATTAAGAAAAAGACAGAGACCTACAGGGGATTAAGTGACCTCCTCAAGGTAACTCAGTGAAAAAGAGTTTATTAACTATCCTTTATGTTCACCTAATCCCTTTTCTATAATTCCAAACTTAAAAAACAATCTAAAATTAATATAATTGTCAGAAAAAATATATACTCTGAAAGAAAGGAAAATGAGGAATTGGATGATGGTAATGAGAGAATAGAAAAATTACAGCTATTGGAAGGATAGAGCCTAACTGTAATTAACTAACTGACTGTTATAAATGCAGCTTTGTCTAAATTTGAATAATGTAAAGAGCACTGCCTCAGGCCCTGATTAGACCAGTCTTAGCTAAACACCAAGCTTCCTTACATCAGCCTCTGTACACTGGTGATCTTGCCCAGCCCACACCATGTCTGCATGACTAACCCCACATAGGCAAGTTACTAAACCATGCAGGGCAGAGAAAATGGATATGGAAAACCTTGCTGGACAAACAACAGAAAGAAGATAAAGGCCAGTGGTTATTGGAATGTGATTCAAGTATAAGTATGATGGACTAGGAGTAAAGATCAGAATTCTAGTTCTAGGCATGAATGCATATTACATCTGCTTGCCAAATAGCTTTCTTTCTAGCATAAACATTTATCCCTTACTATTTTTTATAAATTCCTTATTATTTTTAATATACAGCTGACAGATTCCACATATAAGTAGACCTGCACAGTTCAAACTTGTGTTGTTAAGGTTCAACTGTATTTTCGATCCATGGTTAGGAATCCAAGGTTGCAGAGAGCTGACTGTAGTTCTATGTGGATTCAACTATGTGGATGGTAGATGGCCCAAACTCTCCACACACATTGTTAAAGAATCAACTGTATTATTTCATTCACACAAAAGACTATATGAAACATTAATTATAAAGCACAGTATTATAATGAACAATTATGAAATTATCCCCCAAGCCAAGAATTAGAAAATTACCAATAACAAGTTTCAACTTATACATCCTTTATCTACTTAAATATCTCATCTTCCTGTCTGGTCCTCACCCTGCCAACTTAGTATCTCAATTTTTCCCCCAACAGTTCATTTTCTTTAAAAAAAAAAGGTTTTTTTCTAAAATTTTTACTTATTGGTTTTTATTTTTATTTATTTATTTTATCCTCACCTGAGGACATTTTTCCATTTTCTTTTGTTCAGATAGAGTGGGAGGGAGAGAGAGGAAGAGAGAGAGAGAGAGAGAGACATCGACATGGAAGGGACACATCGAGAGGCTACCACCCGCACAACCCAACCAGGGCCGGGGACAAACTGCAACCAAGGTACCTGCCCTTAGCGGGAACCAAACCTGGGTCTCTCTGGACCGCCGGCTAACACTCTAACTGCTGAGCCAAACCGACCAGGGCTATTTATTGGTTTTTAGAAAGAGAAAGAGCCCTGGCTGGTTTTGCTCAGTGGTTAGAGCGTCGGCCCGTGGACCAGAGAGACTCGGGTTTGGTTCCTGCTAAGGGCATGTACCTTGGTTGCAGTTTGTCCCCAGCCTCGGTTGGGGTCGTGTGGGTGGTGACCAGTCGATGTGTCTCTCTCATGTCGATGTTTCTCTCTCTCTCTCTCTCCCCCTCTCCCTCCTGCTCTATCTGAAGATAAATGCAAAAATGCCCTCAAGTGAGGATGGAAAAAAAAAAAGAGAGAGAGAGAGAAACATTGATTTGTTGTTCGCTTATTTATGTATTTATTGGTTGATTCCTCTATGTACCCTAAGCAGGGATCAAATCGCAACCTAGGTATATTAAAATGATGCTCTAATCAACACCAACTGAGCTACCCGGCCAGGGCTCAATAGTTAATTTTCAATCCACATCTTAAAGACCTCCTTACAGCATTTGACAGTGTTGTTCCCACTAGTGCCCATGCCCCTCCTGATCTATATACCTGACCCTCTTTTCTTGGCTTCTGTAATACTGATTGCCTAGCTTTTCTTACTACCATTCTGGTTGTTCATTCTTTTTTCCTTAAGGCTCATTCTTCTCTATGCATCCAGTAAAACTTAAGAGTTTCTCAAAATTCCATCCTAGGCCCTTTCTTCTCACTCTAAAAAAGTGTTTCTCAACCTGTGGGTTGCGACCCCTTTAGGGGTCGAACGGCCCTTTCACAGGGGTTGTCTAAGACCATTGGAAAACACATATTCTGATGGTCTTAGGAACTGACACACCGCTCCTCTATTCGTCTCCAGGCGGGTCCGCCCACATGCAGATACGCCCACATACAGCATGAGGAACTGTACTAAAGGGTCGGAGCATTAGGAAGCTTGAGAACCACTGCTCTAGACGCTCCTTAGCTTCCCCATGCCCTTTCCTCTCAACTGTGGACCTGACAGCTATGCTCAATATCTACAGTATATCCCAAACCAAACCCCTAACAGTCCTCAAACTGGATCCTCTTTCAGGGTTCCCCAGCATAGTTAAAGGCACCATTATCCACTGTTTTATAAGTAAAAAGTCTGTAACACATCTTTTTCCAGTTAGTCTCTCAAGTCTTGATTTTATCTCCTTTGTAGCTCTTGATGTAGTCTGTTCAATCTATTCCACCATAATCCAAGCTCCCTTCCAGGTACTTTGTACTTAAATTATCACAAGAGCCTTCCAACAGTCTTTCTGCAACCAACAAACCACTCACACTACTGCCTCTTTCCCCATTTACTGCTTCTTTTTCCTTCTTAGATCACTTATCATTTCCTTGGGGGAGGCTTCCCTACCAGGACTATTCCTCTTATTATAAATTCTTTTATCATGCACCAGTGCCTTTATAGCATTTATCACCATTATAATTTTATGCTAATTTGTATAATCTTGATTAATATCTGCTTCCCTTACCAGAACTCCACAAAAATAGGAAATATACATTTTTATTCTTACCACTGTATCCCCTATGTGCAGTAATGTTGAATGAATAAATAATTGATCGAATGAATAAACTATGTGGCACACAAAGATCACCTAAATGTTGGAGAGGAGAGGGGTTCACAAAATAGCCTTAAAAATCGTCTCCCTTCCTTCTTATCTAATTCCATTCTTACCAAGCAATTTCTTGATTTTTAATTTCATTTACCAGGTAAATCATATACCTGAGAAGGGAATCAGAAAAATTCCTGGGTCCCAAGATCCCATATAATAGAAGTGAAGGACAAGAACTCTGGAATCAGACAACTTTAGATATGAGTCCTACCCAGCCAGTGTGGCTCAGTGGATTGAGTGTTGTCCCATGGACTGAGAAGTCCTGGTTCAATTCTTGGTCAGGGCACATGCCTGAGTTGCAAGTTCAATCCCCAGGAGGGGGCGTGCAGGAGGCAATCGAAGTTTCTCTCTCTCTCCCCACCAAAATCAATAAAAACATATTTTTTTAAAAGATGAGTCCTGGCTTTGGCACTTATTAGTAGAATGATCTTGGGAAAGTAATTTCAATGCTGAACGCAGTTTTCTCATCTATTAAATGGAGAAAAGACTCAAATTTCTCACACATGAGATTAATGACTTAAAATACAAAATGCAACAGGTTGCCTGTGTTATTTTTTGCTACCATTACTTTACTATTGTTCTTATTAGTTGAATAATATGAGAGAAACTGAGTATCCAGGTGGCTTCTAAAGTCTGTCCCAGCTCTAATAAGTAGGATTCCATTATGTTGTTAATGATGAACAATTTTCTTTTTGAAAAATATCTGAATCTTGCATAAACTGTAACATGAGAGACCTAAGAGACGATTCCCTCAACAAACTGCATTCCTGAAAAACATTCTTGGAAAAACACTGCCAAAGAGCCAGGAGGGTGTTTTTTTGTTTATTTTTTTGAGGGTATCATTTTTTATTGAATACCATAGAGTTCTACCTGTTATGCCATTTTTCTGGGGCTTATTGGTGTGCAATAAACAGAGAAATTCTGAAGCAGGCTACAAGTCAATCCTAAGCTTTTAAGGGGGGTGCCCCCACCCCAATTTTTCCACATGCATGCCTGATTTGACTTCTGGCCCAAGTACATTGCTGAGGAGGGATTTCATGGTTTGGTGCATGCTGGTTTCTCTATCCAGTACCATGCTAAACAACTAGGAATACCTGGGATCCAGCAGACCCTGCTCCACTCCCCAGGCCATCTCTCTCACAGCATTGCTTATCTCATGACGAGACGTGTATGCAAAGCAGATATTCAGGAAACACCTGAGAAGAAAGAACAGAAAAATGTACCACAGGAGGACAAGGACTGGAACCACTGATTCCAGAGCACCCCTTCCCTGGGAAAAAAAACAAACCAAATGTTAACCATGGACACCTCTGAAAGGTCAAATTATGAATTAAAAAAAATTTTTTTTTTCCTTTATTGATTTTAGAGAGAGAGGAAGGGAGAGGGAGAGGTAGAAACATGGATGAGAGAGAACACTGATTGGCTGCCTCCTGCATGCCCCCCACTGGGGATCAGGCCCACAGCTCGGGCATGTGTCCTGACCGGGAATTGAACTGGTGACCCATTGGTGCATGGGTTGATGTCAACCAGTGAGCCACACCGGCTGGACAAATTATGAATTTTTAAAAAAACTGAATTTATTGGGGTGACACTGATTAACAAAATTATACAGATTTCAGGTGCATAATTTCACAACACATCATCTATACTCTGTATTGTTTACCACCCCAAGTCAAGTCTCCTTTCATCACCATTTATCCTCCTATACCCTCTTCTATGTATCCCCACCCCACAAAATTATGAACTTTTTGTTTTCCAAGTTTTCTTGGAATAAACATGTTACCAGTTTTGTAATAACACAAGTACTGCCCAGCCAGTGTGGCTCAGTGGATTGAATGTTGTCCCATGGACTGAGAGGTCCCAGTTCAATTTCCAGTCATGGCATATGCCTGGGCTTTGGGCTCAATCCCCAGCAGGGGGCATGCAGAAGGCAGCCAATCAATGTTTCTCTCTCACATTGATGTTTCTATCTCTCTCCCTTCCTCTCTCTCTAAAAAAAAATCAATAAAAACATATTTTTATTTTTTATTTTTATTCCTTACCCAAGGATATTTTTCTATTTATCATCAGATAGAGTGGGAGGAACAGAGAGAGAGAGAAACATCGATGTGATAGAGCCACATCAAACAGTTGCCTCCTGTACAACCCAACCAGGGCCAGGGATGAACTGCAACCCAGGTACCTGCCCTTGACCGGAATTGAACCTTCGACTCATTGGTCTGCAGGACGACGCTCTAACCGCTGAACCAAACCAGCCAGGGCTAAAAACGTATTTTTAAAGATGTAATAAGACAGCCCTGGCCGGTTTGGCTCAGCGGTTAAAGCATCGGCCTGCGGTCCTGAGAGACCCGGGTTCGGTTCCCGCTAAGGGCATGTACCTCGGTTGCAGTTTGTCCCCGGCCCTGGTCGGTTGTGCGGGTGGCAGCCACTCGATGTGTTCCTTTCACGTCAATGTTTCTCTCTCTCTCTCTCTCTCTCTCTGTTCCTCTCTCTCCCTCCCACTCTACCTGAACAAGAAGATGGAAAAATGTCCTTGGGTGAGGATTAAAAAAAAAAAAAAAAAAGATGTAATAAGACAAGTACTAAATGACACTTAATACCCTTCTAACCCTCTCCCCTTCTACTACCAACCAACTTTCAGAGGAAGGGAATCTGTGATATTAGCACAAAGGAGTCAGAAAAGAAAATTTGATGCCAAATATACTTTATTCCCAAGCTACACAAAATGAATTTTGTTCTCCCCTGCATCTTCACCACCTCCCAAGGTCATCCTATCCATGCTGAAGAGTGGAACAGAAAAAGAATTTCTTGAAGAACTGTCTTCAGAGACAGGGATAAAGCTTACTGCATTCCCACCTCATCCCTTGGTGCAGAGGGTGTGAAGCACAGGAAATGAAGGAGGAAGAAGATGGGAAACTGTACAACTTTGGTATATACACATACAATATAGTACTGCAGAACCATCTCTGGTCCGCTCTACAGATCAAAGAGGCCTCTAAGCCTCCAAAGCTACCCACTACTTGCCTCTGTACCAAAAGCATACCAAGGATGTCTCCCAGTAGAGGGAGTCAAAAATTGATTCAGAACCCCAAGGGGAAATCTGAAAACTTACTGGTTGTAGTTCTTGGTGGCCTGCATAGCTTGTGCAATCAGCTTCTGGAGATCCAAGGGCAACAAATGCAGATCACCTAGGACCCGGATACATACCCCGTACTTCTGCAGTTTCTCCCTGATTGGGGAAAAGGAGGCAGGGTTGGGACACAGTATCTGCTGAGCTGGTAAGAGCAGGGTGCTTAGATGATTCTCAATTACTAATTTTTGAGTGCTTTCCTGTGTGTCAGGCACTGTTCTACATGTATTATTTCACTGCATCCTCTCAACAACTCTGAAAGGAGTTCACCACATTCCCCATTCTACAGAGGGAAATTGAGACTCAGATAGGATAGTCAGACAGGGATTGTCCAATATCATACAGACATCAAGTGCTATGTCAAGATTGAAACTCAGGCCCGTCTGATTTGAAAATCCAAACTCTTTACCACATGACATTGCCTCATGTGTCCTTGTCAGCAAGTTGCATTTTACATGTCCTGTGCTTTGTTTGTCCCATTTTTGACAAGTGAATAAACTCCTCAAGGGCAGGAGCGTATTATTGGTTACTTTTGTATCTTCTGGCAAAATATAATAATAATAGTGACATCTATTATTAATTATATGTTTACTAAGTGCCAGACAATGGCTTTTCATACATCAACACATTCCACCCTTACACCAACCTTGAAAGTAGATAATCATTATCATTCCCTTTTTACAGATGAGAAAACTGAGGCACAGGGAGGTTGGGTGATTTGTTCAAAATCAGAAGCTGGTGCCCTGGCAGCTGTGGCTCAGTTGGATGGACGTTGTCCTGTGCACCAAGAGGTCACCATTTGATTCTGGGTCAGGGCACATGCTCAGGTTGCAGGCTTGATCAACAGTAGGGGCCATGCAGTAGGCAGCTGATTTATGTTTCTCTTTCTCTCTCTCTCTCTCTCTCCCTCCCTCCCTCCCCCTAAAAAATCAATAAAAATACATTTTTTTAAAAATCAGAAGCTGGTGAGTGGAAAGCCAGAATTAGAACCTAGGGAGTCTGGTTCCAGATCCTGTCCTCCTAATCATGACATTACCCTGCCTCTATACAGCATCTGCCAAACGGCAGTGAGCATAAATTCACTGTCACCCAACCTGGGAAGGCTATGGAGAAACTGAACAACTGATGTTTGGAAAATGGGAGCTTAATAACAAGTCTACTGTAGAGTGGAGGTATCCAGCAAATCCTGGAGAACCGTGATCTGGAGCAGAAGGCCACATCCACAGCCCATGCACCCTTTAACTTTTAACCACATTTCTTCAAGGGTGAAGCAAAATCTAATCACTTATTTTTGAGAACTCACTGGAGCTACAGTATACACAAATCAAGGCAAAATGTAAATAAGAATACAAATGTAAATAAGAATACCGAATTCAAGTCTTAGTGCCACTCCTTACTAGCTGACCTTGCATAACCACTTAGCCTCTCTGAACCTAAGTTTCCCTCACCCTGTGAACTGGGGTACCCATCCCTGCCATACTCTCTGCACTGGCTTGTGTTGAGTGAGAAAAAGTATGTGAATGTGCTTCTTTTCAGGCATCAGGTGCATGACTTGAGTGAGGTCTATGGAGTACTGCAGTGTGGCCAGAGGGGCTCAGTTTGTTGAGCATCATCCTGTGCACTAAAATATTGCCAGTTCAATTCCCAGTTAGGGCACATACCAGGGTTGCAGGTTCAATCCCTAGTTGGGGCATACACGGAAGGGAACCGATTGATGTTTCTCTCACATCAATGTCTGTCTGTCTGTCTTCCTCTCTAAGCATGTCCCCCAGAGAGGATTAAAAAAGAAAATATAGCCCTGCCCAGTTTGGCTCAGCGATTAGAGCATCAGTCCGCAGTCCACTAGGGGCATGTACCTCGGTTGCAGTTTGTCCCCGGCTCCAGTTGGGGTTGTGCGGGAGGCAGCAACTCGATGTGTCCCTTTCATGTCGATGTTTCTCTCTCTTCCTCTCTCTCTCTCCCTCCCTCCCTCTCTATCTGAACAAAAATGGGAAAATGTCCTCGGGTAAGAATAAAAAAAATAAACAAATAGAGGTTATTGCAAAAGCCCTGGTGAGGAGCCTGGAGCCTGGGTTCCTAATCTGGCTCTGCTACTAGCTTGCTGCATGGGCAAGCCTTTCGCTTCTTTCCCTAGGGTTTAGCTTCCCAACCGATGAAACTGAACTAGGCTAGTGGTTTTGCAACTTTTTTTTTTAGCCTCACCCGAGGATATTTTTCCATTTTTTTGTTCAGATAGAGTGGGAGGGAGAGAGAGAGAAACATCGATGTGAAAGGGACACATCAAGTGGCTGCCACTCACACGACCCAACCAGGGCCAGGGACAAACTGCAACCGAGGTACATGCCCCTAGCGGGAACTGAACCCGGGTCTCTCTGGACAGCAGGCCAACGCTCTAACTGCTGAGCCAAACTGGCCAGGGCCCAACCTACTATTAATCAAAGTACTCTTTCTTCAAATTAAATCATAAACAGAAGTAAACCAGCACCCTATACCCCATTCCCTCTGGGTTCTTTGCACACCCACTCCTAGAATTGTGGGGTTCTATGGCACATTGTTGGAAAACCACCACTAGGGTTTCTTCTTGCTCAGTCCAGGACTTCATAACGTAAGACTGTTTTTTCTACTACTGACTGATTAGAGAAATCTCAGTAGCACATCTACTGCCATGCATTTTGATCTTTCAGGAATTGTAAGATTGACTCTCAGGGTAGAACAGCTCAGAGCTGGAGTCAGATAGATACTGTCTGTCTTGACTCTGCCTGCCTGATGGTTGTGTGACTCAAGATACACACGTACATTCTCCAGATGTTGTTTTCCTTCTCTCTACATGTGGGATGACAGTATCTTTCTCACAAGATAATGTGAATATTAAATGAGAATACATGTTAGATTCAGGGCCTGACACAAACTATAAGTACTTTAAAAAGGTAAGATTAGTGTGCAGTAGAGGAGAATTTGAACACGTGGAATATGCCCCCATGCCTCCATCCCCGGCCCCTTGGGTGTGAACTCTGAGCCACAGGAGCTCTGCTGAGAACCAGGGAGCAACATCTGTGGTCCAGAGTCTCACCATCCTAAAATGGACAGAGAGATGTCTGGCTATCCTCCCCACCACACTGACCCACACAGGGACAGAAAAGACAGAAGTATTCTAGGTTCAGCACCACTGGAGCTCTAGGTTCTCTGTTCTCTCGTCATCTTGGTATGGGAAGGAGCTGGGCAGAGAATGATTGTAATGAAGACTTTTGGGCCGTCTGGCTGGAAAGGGTTCCATACTTAATTTTTAAAAATAGTTTCATTGATTTTTTTTAGAGAGAGAGTAAGGGAGAGAAAGAGAAAGAAACACTGATGTGAGAGAGAAACATCCATCGGCTGCCTCCTGCATGCCCCCTACTGGGGATCGAGCCCACAATCCAGGCATGTGCCCCTGCCTGGGAATCGAACTGTCATCCTCCTGGCACATAGGATGACGCCCAACCAACAGAGCCATACCAGCCAGAGCAAGGGTCCCATACTTTAAAGCAAACAAACTCCATCAATATTCTTGTCCCTTTCTGGCTCTGCTCCCTAAGTTAAGCTTAAACTTAATGACAGCTAAAAGTGGCACTGACACTTCCCCATAAAGGCCTCTTATGCATCATTCCATGCCTCCCAAGAGAGTACAGTAACTTTTTAGGAATGACTGCACAGCAGAAAATTAATTTTTCAATGTTTCTCACTCTACTCTCCTGGCCACAACTTACTGGTGAGCTAATGAAAAGATTTAGTTCATTCTGGGCTATTCTCATGAAGCAGGGAAAGCAGATCTACAGAGAGAAGGAAATGTACAAAGAGACTCTACCTAATAGATATCAATCCTGGTTTCAATTTTGCTTGAGGCTGGTTGTACTTGTCCTTGAATCCTGTAAAATACCTCTATATCCTCAAATAAATGCCCCCTTTGAAAAAAAAAAAAGAAAAACTAGCTTGCCATATTTGCCACTGTAGAGATCTGACTAACATTAAAAGGGTGCAAAGATCCTCAAGTAAGCCTCAGCTAAGAAAGTTGAGGGTTAGGGTAGGCTGGAGGTGCTGGATGAACAGGCTCTCCCCTCTGACAGCATCTTACTGTTCTTCCAGCAAGCGGCTGAACTTCTGCCGGGCTATATCCATTAACCCGTCTACTTCACTCTTGGAACGTTTGAAGTTCTCAATGCTGAACGCGTACACCGTCACCTCTCGAATGCCCAGGTTCAAACACCACTGCAGAGTCTGAGAAGGGAGAAGACAAGGAGCTAGGTTGTAAGGAAGAGTGGGAAGGAAAATTAGAGATGCCGTGGCCCCAACTTGGTGCTGTGTCTAGCTAAGATAACACCAGTGCTTCTGTCAAAAGGATGAACCAAATATGCAGAAAGCCACCACTTGAGAAACGGAAAAATGTGAACTTAATGAGTACTACTAGGCTGATGCCACTGTGGTCTACTGGAAAAAACTCTTCACTAAGAGTAAAAAACTAAGTTCTAGTCTCTGGCTCCATCATGCACTTGCTATGTGACCATAGACAAATTATTTAACCTCTCTAGGCCTAAGTCTCCTTATCTGTAAAAAAAGATCACAATCCATCCCTCACAAGGTGGCTAAAGAACAATATAAAAACACAAGGTATTATTACTCACAATATAACTTCATTATTCTGGTAGACTCAGGCCGATGGGTTATAAAAATAAAAGCAACAATTGCACAGCTGTGCAGCATTTGAGTCTGCAGAGTTTTCACATATACTATTTCAAATGATTCTTCCAACCAATTGAGACTGGCATTATTGTTTTCATACCTACTTTATAGATGATAAAACCAAGGCTTGCCCTGGCCGGTTTGGCTCAGCGGTTAAAGCGTCGGCCTGCGGTCCAGAGAGACCCGGGTTCGGTTCCTGCTGAGGGCATGTGCCTCGGTTGCAGTGTGTCCCCGGCCCTGGTAGGGTCGTGCGGGTGGCAACCACTCAATGTGTCCCTTTCACATCGATGTTTCTCTCTCTCTCTCTCTCCCACCTCACTCTCCCTCCCATTCTATCTGAACAAAAAATCGGAAAAAAAAAAAAAAAACCCAAGGCTCAGGGAGTTGAAGAAATGTGTCAAAAGTCCACAATGAATCCATTATAAGTTCTAGAATGACAAAAACCAATGTATAGTGATAGCTCTTCAGCTTTGTTTCTTCAGTTGTTTGAATGTCTTCTACCCCCTACCTTTAACCTCTAGGCTCCCTGTCTTAACACAAATCCCTTCACAGACAAATGAAGCAATTCACTGTCACCTTAGGAAAATTACCACTGAGAATCTGACACTTGAATAGGCTCAAGCTATAGACCTTACAGGTTATTTACTGGCACACTTGGGTTGGAATCCACCACAGACCTCAGTCAAAATAGATGCCGCCCTGGTCGGTGTTACTACAAGCTATATTTCTATCCTTCTTAAAGTTAGTTTCGAGAGGCCTCTGGGAAGGGTTAGTGTGGGGGACAGCACAGCGGCTGCAAAAATTTTTGATAAACAAACAAACAAACAAAAGTTAGTTTCACAAGAATTAACATATTCCATTCTTATTGTTAGACTTAATGTTTTCCCATCTGTAATACATATTAAAAACTATAAAATGTTCATGACCTTCACTTAAAGTGATGTCCCAGTTTGGCACTTTCCCCAGTTTAAGCACTAAAAGATCCATGTTGTAAGACACCCTGACTCAGACAAACTAGGAAGGGTAGTACCCTACCTTTGCTCCAGAAATGTCACTTCTTAGAATTTATTCTAAAATAGAACTATTTATAGTTCAATAATAGTGGAGCAGCTAAACAAATTGTCACATCTTTATGATGATAAAATGTTCTACATCATTAAAACATATAAAGTTAGAAAGGCTATATATCAACCTAGAAAAATACTTGCCAAAATGTAAAGTAAATACAAGGTTATTGAAGCTATAGATGTAATTTTATAAATGTTAAGTCATATTAGAACAAAGTACAAGGACTTGGATGAGGCACAGAAAAAAATAAACTGTTGATTGGTTAAGGTGGTAAGAGGAGGCAATTTTTTTTTTTAAGTCAGCCTTGTTGAAACAAGGCCACCAAAAATTTGGTTGCCTCCCACAAAAAAATGGGAGAGAGAAGATGAGAGGAGGCAATTTTGCTCTTATTTCTAATATTTTGTGATGAGTCACTGGATGATTCAATTTTTTGTTAACGTTGATATAAGACCTATAGCTAGCAAGCAAGCAATAAAACAAACAGCTATATAAAAAAAAAAACAAAAAAAACAAAAAAAAAACAAAGAAAAACAACACCACAGCAAACTCAGGTTTTCTAGCTATAATTCAATTTTCCACAGACTGTTCACCTTGGATTCTGCCACTCACACCCACCTCAGCCAGCTTGTTGAAGCCCTGTGAGTGGCCTTCCTGACACTCCATTTGGCACTTCTTGGCATAGCGACGGTTCCCATCCATTATAAATGCAATGTGTTTGGGTATTGGGCCTGCCTGTGAAGTAGGAAGACAAATGAACATATCACATACTCTTCAAAGATAAAGGGAGACATTACACCCTGAGCTGATAGGCTACATGGTAAAAGCCCTGAGGAAGGAAATTGGGTATTTAGCAATTTACTTTTTTAATTTATCTTATTTTTTATTAATTAATTTATTTTTGTTACAGATGTTTCTCCTTTTTCCCCCCTTGGCACCCTTCTCCCGATCCCACCCTCCCCAAATTGATTTTAAAGAGGGAAGAAGAGAGAAAGAGAGAGAAACATCAATGTGAGAAAGACACATCAATCAGTTGTCTCCTGTACGTACCCCGACAATCAAACCCACAACCTAGGTATGTGTTCTGACCAGGAACCAAACCCGAGACCTTCCAGTACACGAGACAATGTTCCAACCAACTGAGCTACACCAGTTAAGGCTTACTTACTTAATTTTTTTTTAAATCCTCACCCAAGGATATTTTTCCATTTGTCTTCAGACAGAGTGGAAGGGAGAGAGAGAGAGACATCACTGTGAGAAAGACACATCGATTGGTTGCCTCTTGCACAACCCTGATCAGGGCAGGGACAAGACTGCAACTGAAGTATGTGCCATTGACCAGAATCCAACCCGAGACTCTGGTCTGTGGGCTGACATTCCAACTGCTGGGCCAAACCGGCCAGGGCAAGGCTACTTATCTTTCCTTATATGTTTATTAACCACTTATTACATGCCAAGCACTATTCTGGGCTTTTTGTATCTCACCTTAGTCTTTTTATCATAGAACTCTATAAAACATATAGTATTATCTTCATTTTACAGGTGAGAAAACTGAGGCTCAGAGAAGTCAGGTGACTTACAAAGTCACACAGCTAAGAGGCAAAGTGGGGATTTAAACTAAGGTCTGTGTGTGATCAGATTTCATCTTTTAACTATATGTTCTTAATCACCACTTTGGTTTTATTACTCTCCAACTGGAAGGCCCATGAAGGATATTGATGGTGTGGTCAGTGGAGACGGCATCCTTCACATTGCCCTGGCCAGTTTGGCTCAGCAGTCAGAGCAGTGCCCATGGACCAAAGGATCATGGTTCGATTCCCGGTCAAGGGCATGTCCAAGGGTTGCAGGTTCAATCCCCAGCCCTGGTTGGGGTCATGTGGAATGCAACCAATCAATGTGTCTCTCTCACATCAATGTTTCTCTCTCCTTCTCTTCCACTCTATTTGAGAAGCAACAAAAAAATATCCTCAGGTGAGAAAAAGAAAGAAAGAGGCATTCACTCCTCAGCTCTATCCGATTGCTGACACACAGAAATGGGGCCTAATGTTGTTGGATCTTCAAATTTTACAAGAGATTCCATATGTCAAGATTTTTATAAAAATTTAAATGCCAGGAGCCATTTCAAAGCAAACAAAAGGTATTTTGGGGGTCAAACAAAACTTATCTGGCTTAGAGCAGCCTTTTGTTGTCTACCACCGGAAAAATTCACTCCCTGGCCTATTTTCCTCATTGGAGGAGCTCATCACAGACTGCTTCCCCTGTACCTCTCCATCATTTTCTACTTTTGTTTCCACATGTAGCCTTTAAAAAAATTCCAATCAAGTCATGCAGCTTTTTCTTCCCAACACATGACTGCAGTGGTTGTCCAAGGAGACATTTCCAAATCTTGGCCTGCCTGAGTAACCTTGGCATTTGTTAAGAGTGTGAATGGGCTTACTGGCTCATAAATTCATTGCTACCCACTACTTAACAGTCTGTGGCTGAAAAACAAATCCAAGTTGATTGGCTTCGATCTCAAACCTATCATACACAGAGGATATCACATTGTTGTGAATCTTAAGAAAAAAAGCTGAGGAAAGATTTAGGAAAGCAAGGGAGAGTATGGGAAATAGAGTAATTGCAGTCTTCAAATGGCTAAAAGACAGCTCCTGTAACAGCAGTAATTAAGAACTGCTAGAAGCACTCTCTCTCGGGAGCATGCCCATGCCTTTCCCGTCCCCCTTATCTTCTCCCCGAGCTCAGTACCTTTACCCTTCTCTCTCCTAAGCTCCAAGGGCCCCTTCTTTTGCCTCTGTAACTTCTTTTCCTGAGTGTTCTCCTACCGCTCACTTCTACCTCTGTCACTTTCCAAATAAGCTTTCTTTTATAGTTTGGGGGAAAAAATTCACCTGCTAGACACTGAGCTAAATGCTTTCTATGTGTGTTTCACTTAATCCTCAAAAAACTCATGTAAAATCACATGGTTCATAAGTGATACAATAGGACTTTTGTTCATGTTTGAGCCCAAACTCAGCCATTACAAAGAAAGTTTAGTTATTTTATCTAAATCCAGAAGACAGCACTAGGAATAATCGTTCAAAGTTCCAGGGAAATAAATTCTAGTTCTCCATAAGGAAGACCTAACAGTCCATGCTGCCCAATATTAGGAGCACCTGGGCTTCCTGAAAATGTGCCAGTTAAGACAATAATAACCTGGCAGAAATGTAGATCTGAAGTTACCTTGCATTGCTAAATTCCACTCAACATCATGGATTACTCAATCTGAATAACAGGTTTTGATACAAGATTACACAACTGACCAAGTCAACTGGTGCTGTGGACTCACCTTTATGATGTTGGCACAGAACCGCTCCCACAGTGACAACTGTCCTTTCTGGATCCATGACATAGTTCTTTCCCAAGTGGAAGATAAGCCCAGAATAAGAAGCTATCAGTTAGGTAACCTTGGATAAACAAGAAAGAGAATCAGACGTCACCAAGGCTTGCAAATAGCTACAGCTGACTTGCAGGAATTCACACGGGCAGCATAGAGCATCCAGCATTAGAATCCAAACACACTGGTCTAAGCTTCCAGTCTTTCACCACAGAGTTTATAAATAAACCAATGGGACCGGTGGGGCTGAGGCCTTTTTCTGGTTCTCCTGGCTTGGTGGACCTTGCTCCCATGCTCCCATCCCCTTTTTCTCGGTATCTGCACTGGCTTTTTCTGAACCCCTAAGTCTGCTTCCTGTCATATCATAGTGCCCACACCCAATCCTTCCCCGCTTCTTCCTTCTCCATCTTCCCCCAAGCTGTTTCCCACTCTGTGCGCTTCCAGTTACTAACCCCTTCAGTTGTCACTCCCGTTACCTCCTACCTCAGTGGTCTCCCAATTATTTAACCTCTCACTTGTCTTTTCCACTGTCCCCCTTGTCATTCCCATGGCTGCCTCCCCGCCCAGTCACCTCTCTCTTCTCGTAACTGCTAGAAGCCAGAATCTACTCCGCTCCGCCGGCGCCTTCCAACTGCTCCTTAACATCGATACTTCCTTAGGACGTGGCGCTGGAAGGTTGCGTCATCGTTTGGCGCCGGGACACGCCCCCTTCGGCCCCTTAATGGGCGTGGCCTTGCTCTGCGCCGGCTGGCTCGGAGGAGGAGCGGCACAAGCCGGCTGGGCCGCAATTCCCCCTCCCGGGAGAGGAAAAGGAAGCGCGCTCACGTGACCCAGTGGGGTGGCCAGCCGGGTCCAGGCCACGTGCGGTGGAACGTGGGGTCGAGACCGCCTGGGGGAGCCGAGGGGTTGTTAAACCCAGATTGGGACGCCTTTAACGGGCTACGCAACAGTACAAGAATTCAGGGATAGCCACGTCAGAGATGGAGGTTTCTCAACTGCTGATGGCATTTTAGGTTCTGCTGAGAAATGGTGTGAGGCAGCGTCCCGCTCGCCGGAAGGCCTTGGAAGGCCGCTGAACTGGGCTTTAGAGCTCTTGTAAAAGGTCTTAGTGGATTTCATCGTTTGGGACGTTCCCAGCACTAGTCAGTCGCACAGACGCACTTAATAACAAACCACTTGTGCTGATTTAAGACACTCAGATTTCAGGATTTGTAGATTCTCAGGACCTACCCAAAGGAAAGCAGTTTTGAAGCCAGAAAGCCCTACTCTAAGGATTTCTATATTAAATAACAGAAAGGCCATCAATGAACCCTGATAGAAAAATCAAGGGTGTTAGCTTTGTACCACCTTTCCGTAAAACTGTTGCCATAATTTGAGACACTAACAACAAAATTTGGAGTCCAATTCTCTAAAAATTAAAAAGCAGTAAAAAGAAATTTGCAATTTTCAAATAACCTCCTTGCAGTTTCGCTCACCAAGGAATCAAGGTGAGATATTGCGCTGGTAACCCCCATTTCACTGTGTCTTCCATCTTCCACTTTCTGATGAATTACTTTTACCAGGCATTTTAAAAGTCCTAGAGATGAGTAACCCACCCAAGAATAGTAGTATTTTCCACCCTTCCTGCTTTGCATCTGGGAAGCAAGACTTTTGGTAAAATGAAACGTCTTACCCTTGTTCTCCTAATTAATGCTTCTGTGCAGTTTTTGGTGGTAGTATGCCTCCAAGCTAGATTTTTTTTTTTTTCTTTTTAAATTCTTGCCTTAAGGGGAGCTAGATGTTTAAGAATCAATGTTCATTAGCAGGCTAGCAAACCTGGGTTCAAATAAAATGCTAACAAGTTTATAGCTAGTCAGTGTATGGCCTCAATTTCCCTAGTTTCACATATTTGCCTCCCTGGGGTGCTGCACGGGGTTAATTAATTAAGATTTGTAAAGGGATTTGAAGAGCAGGGGACAAAGTATTATTAGGATCTCATGCCCCAAGGAATGGCCCCATCCTTTCATCCCAGCCAGTGGCACAGGCAACCCCATTCTTATGCATGCCAAGCTCCTAATCCCCTCTTGAATGTGGCAGCCTCTAAGGAAAGGACAAGAGGCCTAACTAGAAACAAAAAACAAACAACAAAAAAAACCCACACTGTAATGAAGTGCTAAGAGGACTGAACTTTCAAGATTCATTCCTAACAAAATGGCTGAACAGAAAACTTAATGATTCTTCTGACTTTTGAGTCCCAATCCAAGGAGGTGAGAATTATGGGAGGAGAAAAGCACCCTAAATATATAAAAAGGAGATGACAGCTTCAATATGATAAGTCTTTATTCATTCATTTTATTTTCCCAGGGTAAAGGGGAAGGGGAAAAGTCAGCATGTGTTTCAAAAAATGATAGAGAGCAAGTGGAAGTACCCGGCACTGCAAAATCAACCATCCAATGAACAGTCCCCAGTGATGGAGGTCACCAAAGCCCAAGGGGGCTCAGTCTCCTGCAGTTTGGAAATGAGAAGTAATCAGGGAAAGAACAGACAGGTACATGCTTTCCTACCCTCCCTCCCACCCACCGCATAAATTCAAGATTTCACACAAAGCTTTGGTTTCTAGCAGTAAACATGGAGTTACATTCGTCCGTCTCCTATTAAACAATCTTGTGGCTACTTTGACATAAGTTTTTTGCACCTGCATAAAAGTTCCTGAGTGATTTAGATATACATTCATCTTCCCTTTCTTGGTCTCCCAACCCCACTTTCAAAATGAAAGGCCCCCTCATTGCTTTTCTCTACCCTAGGATTAGAGATTAAAATATAGCATCTAAGTGTTTGGCATGAATCACATAACAAGGAATGGTCTTGCTCAGGATATTGGGAAGGGATGGAGTATTCTTAGCTTCTTCAGGATTTTTTCACAAATATTTAATAGATGGGGTGACACTCCACACATTAAATATGTATGTGTGTGAGTGGGTATTGGGCTTTTGGGGGGGCAGATAGGAGATAGTGTAGATGTCAAGTTTCTAGGACAGAAGATCTGGTCTAAAATAGGAAATAGGGGAAGAGGAAACAAAAGAAAGGATGGTTCAAGACCCCCACTTTAAAAAGAGGGGTACCCAAGCTTATGTTTCAGATTCTTTTTGCCTGGTGCAGAACCTTTTGTCAAAGATGCTTTGGCTATTATTTTTCTCAATACAAAAAGAAGTTTGTAAACAATAAAACCCCAAAAGAACATGGAGAAAGACCAACACATTTACACAAACTAGGTCACCTAGCAATCACCAAATCATCTACTGTGAAGTCCTACAAAGCCCAGACAAATACAATAACTAGAGGGGGCAGCAATTGGGGGAGACAAGAACCCAGGATCAGACACACATCACCCAATGCATTCTATTGCATTTGCCCCGTTTCAACACAGTGAGGTAGGTTTTTCAGTGATCTCACAGCATGTAAACGAAACTCGCTTTTCTCCTTTAGCTACTGTGACACTAATCACTGCTGCAGCAGGGCAGGACACTGACTCTGGGCACCACAAAGAAACCATCGCTTATGGCTTCTCTAGTAGCCAAGGAGGAAAAGCAAAGAATTTTTAAAGGTTAAGGAATTTAGTCATTGCTTCATACATCCATCCCTGGGCAGCTCAAGATGGGTAGAGAGGTATTTGTTCTTAAAAGTATCTTTACCAACTCATATTTTACACACACACACACACACACACACACGGACGCGTGCACACACACACACACACACACACACACACACCCCTTTGTTGTGCATGGTAGGCCAAGCCCAAATCAGTGAGGGATGGATCTGGTATGTACTGTGAGTCCCAAACCCTGGGATTATAGGTCTAGAACAGGAATCCTTGGTTACACACATATAGACAACCCACACCTAATCTTGACTTCCCCTCTGCGCCTTTTACCTACAATCAATTCCCGTTCAGACCAATTTCCAATCTTCCAGTAGAAGGTCAAGTAATGGGGCCACCCCGTTAAAATCCAGTCTTCCACAAAATATTGAAGGTGGATGGGTTTCAAGAGGACACTGTGGCAGACAAGCCAGCAAAAATGAGGTAGTTCAATAGACTTTACACTCCAAATAGTTGTTCTCCCTGATGATAAAACAACAAAAAGTATTCCTGCTGTGCAGACCTGGAGCTGCTGCCCATTTATCCCTGAGATTGCTTGTGTACCTGAGAACACAGTGCAGGAATAAGGGCCTTAGATTAAAACACACAAAAATACAAAACCAGAATACTTATATTACGAAAGAAAAAAAAAGTTAAAATGCACAAGATACGTCATTCGCACACAGCTAGTGCAGTTGGCATCCTGGAGAAAGTGGGACCCAAGGTGCAGTTATCCAAGGGACCAAATAAATAAAATTGTATTGGTCCAGAAATGGGGTGAGAGTGAGTTTAGGGGCAGCAGGTCTGCAGCTGTTCCCCAATCATTCCTTTTGCCTATTGTCACAACCCATTGCTTGGAACAATTCTCAGCACCCTAGCCCAAGAGTGGGTTATAAGGAGACGAAATGTGGAAAAACCCTGCGGTACCCCTGAGATTCCCTCCCACAGAATGTAGTCGTTTGTGGGCTGGGTTCATCAATCTGGTCTCATGCTAATTTTTTCACTCTGGCAGGGGAAATATTATTATTACATATCCTTCTTTAAAAGAAAAACAACATCCCTAACCAGGCCACTTTCAAAAGCTGGAGATTCTGGGGGTGGAGATTCAAATAAAGCATGTAGGGAGGGATTTCCCCCAAAACCCTTCACATGCATTTGGATAGAGTGTGGTTGGAGTTCCTTTGCCTCACCCCTCCCCCCCTGCCAAGAGGGAAGAGGGGGTGATGCTATGGAACCCGGGCAGAGATACAAGGCAGTGCCAGCTGCCCCCTACCCACCCTGTCCCCACTTTCTCCATTCTGCCGATTGATGCCTGCTCCTTGAAATTTCCTCATCACAAAAGGATAGCCCACCCCCCACCCACTGTGGCTCAATTCTGGGCATCTGGGAGCAGGGCAGGGCTATGAATCTCTTCTTCTTCATCCCGAAAGTAGGCTGGCTTTCCCTGTGAGCTGGGGGCCTGCTGGGCCTTCAGTGGACACGAGGCTACCATATGGCTGATGCTCTGGCAGAAGTGGCACTTCTTGGGCTGGGGTGGCAACTTGCATTCCTTGGCATGATGGTCTAGACCTCCACAGTTGTAGCACCTGGTACAAAGCAGGATGGTAAAATTGAGAAAGGAGCGAGAAGAAATCAGAAGCCTTTCTGAGTAAGGACATTTGGGCTCTTCCCTTTCTGGAGACCAATTTTTCTACTTATAAATCCTTTCCAAACCTGTAATTGGTCTAGGTCAGTGGTTCTCAACCTTCCTAATGCTGCGACTCTTTAATACAGTTCCTCGTGTTGTGGTGACCCCCAACCATAAAATTATTTTCGTTGCTACTTTATAACTATAATTTTGCTACTGTTATGTCTTAGGTGACCCACAGGTTGAGAACCGCTGGTCTAGATCATCTTCAGATTCATGTCCCCCAACTAAGCACTGCAATTTGGGGGATAGGTAAGACTCTACCATACCTTTAAAATACATGTACTCATCATTTATTAAAAACATAGAAGAAATTTGCCCTGGCCAGTTTGGCTCAGCAGTTAGAGCGTCAGCCTGTGGTCCTGAGAGACCCGGGTTCGGTTCCCGCTAAGGGCGCGTACCTTGGTTGCGGTTTGTCCCCAGCCCTGGTTGGTCGTGCGGGTGGCAGCACTCGATGTGTCTCTTTCACATCAATGTTTCTCTCTCTCTCTCTCTCCCTCCCACTCTATCTGAACAAAAAATGGAAAAATGTCCTTGGGTGAGGATAAAAAAAAAAAGAGGATTAAAAAAATATATATATATAAAAGAAATTAAAGGAGTCAGACTATATGATCCGTTCAAGTACAGAGCTAAGATGAATGAAACCAGCCATTTGGAGACCTGGTAAAGAAGCAACAAGTACAGATACATTTTCTGGTCCCCACAGCTTGCACTTTCACATCCAGTCTCTTTTAGTTCTAAAATAACCATGTGAGGTCAAATCACTATTTCCACTTAGCAGTTGAGGCTAGAACTCACAGAGCAAAATTACTTGTCAAGTGCCCTCCTCACATACTGCCCTCTCCTCGTCTCCCACATCTATAGCAGGTACCCTAACCATCCAGATGTTGCCAGGGACTATAGGCTTCATTTTATTTTTGGTAACATGGTCCAAGAAATGAGACAAGATTGAGAGAGCTCTTCCCATCCTCAGCATATCCCTACCAATCCACACAAGCCACCTCCCAATCCCTACCTGTCTCCCTTTGATCTGCGCTTCTGCATGTTCTTTCCTTTTGGCCGCCTCTCACTCCCAATACAGAACACCCCACCAGGGCCAGTAACTCGGATAGATTCCAGGCCCTTGGCAGACTTCTTAAAGGTGAACTCCACTGCCTCACCCTCCTTCAGGCTCCGGAAGCCCTCCATGTGCAGCTTACTCTGGGGAAGGGAAACACGGGAGATTTTAATGTTAGCCCTCCACCATTATTCCAACCCCCCGCCCAACAATAAACCCACATACATGTATTCCTGCAATGCAGGAAGAACAAGTGTGGTAACACTCTCATCTTATCAGTAAAGAGTCACCATAATTAAGAACAAGAAATTTACTTTACATTAACAAAGAACAATAGTTTATAAACACGCCATTACATTTTTTACAGCTATTCTCACTTCAAGTTCTAAGTAAAATAGAAGGAAAAACTTTAAACACAGCATTTAAAAAATCAACAAATATGCCCTGACCATCAGTTTTGCTCAGTGGTTAGTGTTTGCCCGAGGATCAATGGGTCTCAGGTTCAATCCCCGGCTCTAGTCAATTCATGCGGGAGGCAACCAGTCATTGTGTCTCTCTCACATCAATGTTTCTCTCCCTCTCTTCCTCCCCTGCAATCTCTCTTTAAAAAAAAAAAAAAAAAAAAAAAGGAAAAATCCCTGGATGGAAATTAACAACAAATATAAAAATTATAAAATAAAGGTTATTATGGGAATTTTAGTACCTCTTTCCAAGTTTGAAATTATATCAAATAATGTTACTGAAAGTTGAAGAAAAAAGACATTATGACCCAAACAGATAGATCAGAAGATTATAAAGAAAAGTCCAGTAGGAGAACAAAGCATATGTGGAGAAATCGATAGGTGAGAAAAACAATTCAAAAATACTGTTGAGAACATTAGCTCTCTATTTGGAAATGAAGCCAGAATTCTACACTTTGTAGCATATGCATGCAAAATACATTCCAGAACTTAAATAGCTAAATGCTAAAAAAAAGCCCAAAACTATAAAATCAAGACAGGTAATTAGACTGATAAAATGTAACTAGGTAATTTGCAGGGCAGTATGACAATTTCATCAGTTAAAAAAAAAATCACCCATGCAGCCATTTAAAAGAATGTCAAGTCCCTGTTTTGTTCACTCCTGCATTTTGCACCTAAATAATGCCTCACGCATTTTTGAATTAATGAACAAAGAGTAGATTTTAATTATTTGAGTATGGAAAATGATCAAATATTTTAAAGGAAAAACTATTTAGAATAATGTATGGAGCAATCTCATTAAAATACTGCATGTTGGCCCTGGCCAGTTTGGCTCAGCGGTTAGAGCGTCGGCCTGCGGTCCGGAGAGACCCGGGTTCGGTTCCCGCTAAGGGCACGTACTTCGGTTGCAGTTTGTCCCCGGCCCTGGTCGATCGTGCGGGTGGCAGCCACTCGATGTGTCCCTTCACGTCGATGTTTCTCTCTCTCTCTCCCTTCCTCTCTCTCCCTCCCACTCTATCTGTACAAAAAATGGAAAAATATCCTCGGGTGAGGATAAAAAAAAAAAAAAAAATACTGCATGTTGGCTGGCCCAGTGGTTGAGTATCAACCCGTGCACCAAGCAGTTGCCGGTTCGATTCCTGGTTAGGGCACATGCCCAGGTTGTGGGCCTGATTCCCAGTGGGGGTCATACAGGAGGTGGCTAATCCATACTCTCTCTCATCGATGCTTTTATCTCTCTCTCTCTAAAAATCAATAAAGGAAAATAAAAAAAAAAAAAAAATACTGCATGTTTGCCCTTGCTGGTATGGCTCAGTGGTTACAGCATTGGCCCAAGCACCGACAGGTCTTGGGTTTGATTCCCAATCAAAGGCATGTACCTAGGTTGCTGGTTCGATCCCTGGCCTCCTGTTGGTGCACATGAGGGAGGCAACCAATTGTGCCTTTTTCACTTCTCTCCCCCCCCTTCCCTCCTCCTCTTCTACTTTCTCTAAAAAATAAAAATAAATAAATAAATGGGGGAAAAAATCATCGGATGAGGATGAACATAAATAAATAATTAAATAAATACATGAAAAATATTGCATGTTTGCACCAAAAATTTAAAATATTGACACTTGTTCCCGGCTGGTATGGCTCAGTGGATTGAGTGGTGTCCCACGGATTGAGTGGTCCTAGTTTGATTCCTGGTCAGGCACATGCCTGGGTTGTGGGCTTGATCCCCGGTAGGGACTATGCAGGAGGCAGCCGATCAATGTTTCTCTTGCACATTGATGTTTCTATCTCTCTCCCCCTTCCTCTCTAAAAAAATAAAAATAAAAAATATATTGACACTTGCAAAGAGCAGGAGTTATTGACACAGCTAGTTGAGTGGCAAAGCCCAGTGTCAGAAGAACCCAGTGGTCCTGATTTGAAGTTCACAGCCTCGCCAATTACTGCTTAACAACAAAACATTACTGGAGGTGACAGTCCCTCCCAGATCCTACTCAGAATAGACTTCATTACAGCTTCCTCCATTACACTGACAAATGTCAACAAGGTGTAATCATCAAAAAAAAACAAGGTTCAGAGAAGCAAAAGGGATCACTGAGCACCTTGTCATGGGGCTGGAGGGAACATGATTAAGTAGAAAGTATTTGATGCTGTTGGGAGGAGGCGGGTGTTGGACTATTTCAAAATGGGTCTTAGGTGAAACATCTTCTTTAGCCACATGGGATCCCCAATTTCTCATCATTTACATTTTTGTTTTAATCTACTTGGCACTGCTTAAGACAAAACTTCCACTGAGGTAATTGGTCAAGAGCACAGGCTCAGGTCCCAGACACATCCTGGTTCAACCATTCACCTCTGAGCCTCAGTACTTCAGAGATGTGGGCTAACAGCAAGGTATCTACCTAAGGCTCCATTGAAGAAGAGTGCAAGCCCCCTTTCCCTTCCCATTAGCACAATAATTACCCTGAATTTGAAGTTAGATTCGACTTGTCTCTTATTGAGCTGGGACAAGCCAGTAAATCAGGAGGTACTGGAGAAATTGAACCGAGTATTCTTTTTTTTTTTTTTTTTATCCTCACCCGAGGACATTTTTCCATTTTTTGTTCAGGTAGAGTGGGAGGGAGAGAGAGGAACAGAGAGAGAGAGAGAAACATCGACGTGAAAGGAACACATCGAGTGGCTGCCACCGCACAACCGACCAGGGCTGGGGACAAACTGCAACCGAGGTACGCGCCCTTAGCGGGAACTGAACCCGGGTCTCTCAGGACCGCAGGCCGACGCTCTCACCGCTGAGCCAAACTGGCCAGGGCTGAACCGAGTATTCTTGACCCAGGCAATACCAGCTTCTCCTATTGCCTAGTGGGTTCCTAGGCTGGGATACCCCCAGGTCTAGCTGTGATTCAGCAAATAAGTGATTAAGAACAAGTTTGGAGTCTGAGGGCCTGTTTCCTCCTTCCTAATCTACAAAATGGAAGTAAATACTAATTTTGTGGTGGTGCTGTGAGGTTTTATGCATGAAAAGTAATTAACATATAGCCTGCCACACATCAATCTCCACTGAGTGGCAATTATCATCATCTTCAAACTGGATCAGGGTAGGATCCCAGTGGGAACTAGTATCAAGAGACTTAGAATTTTAACCCTGGATTTTATTATTAACCAGCAGTGGAAACCCAGAAAACCATTCCCTCTCTGAGCTCCAATTTACTGAGGACAACATTCTCCTTCTCTACACCTCACAGGCTTAATGTGAAAACAAGGGGATAATATAAATGGGGACAATATGAAATTGACTGGTGCTCTCAGGTCACCCACTCCATCACTGGAGGATTTGAGGTCTGTTTAAGACTTTCAAATAAGAAAACACACACACACACACACACACACACACACACACACACACACAAAAAAAGGCTCTGCAGGAACCTCACCATAACAGGTCAAGATTTAGACTGGAGGTCTCCAAGGGTGGCTCCCTGCCCCCACTCTGCCCCTTCCTAAAACACATACTTTGAATTCCTCTCTTATCAGATAGGTAATCAGCATGCAGCCTCACTGAGCCAGCCTCACAGGGCCTGCATCAGAAAGGAGCCAGAAATTCTTGCTACCACCCCCACCCTGCCCCCAACCACACACAAAGCAGGGCACCGCCCCTCTCCCCATCCCCTCAAAAAAAAGAAAAGACTTGAGGGGGGAGGGGCAAGGCTTGAGTTCCCCCAATAGAGCCCAGCCCCAGGAAACAAAGAGTTGACACTGGTTGATTCTGGTGGTCAGATTCCTGGAGTTCCAGAGGCTGCAGATTCCACACACACACACACATTCACCACATTCATCGGTTCCTTCCTTCCTCTTCACATTGGGGTGAGAAATGGATATAGAGACACCTTTCTTCCCTAGTCAAGCTTTCTGGGTCGGCCAGAGTCACCACCAGCAGCCATCTTTCCTTGTCTCGGACCTGCCACCCCACACTTCAGGGGTGGGACTAAACAGGATCTGATGCCCTCCTCTACCCTCTTCTCCCTCCCCTCCCCTCTCCTCTGGTGCCTTCAATCAAATCCTTTACACAGGAATCTGAATTAGTGTTACTTATTCAGATAAATTATTTTAAAGGTGATGGGGGAGGCGGGTCTCCAATCTTCCTTTCCCAATTTGTTTAAGAAAGGAGGATGGGCAGCCTACGGGGTTGCCCACCGATTAGAAGAAAATAGCATGTAATCAGAAAAGTTTCAAAGGCTTTTTTTGGCAGGGGATGACTTGGGCCAGTTATGCCTTCTGTCCTCTTCATACCTCACCACTGCTGACTCCAGCGTTCACCCACATCAAGTACCCCCATCCCAGCATCAACTTATGCCTTTTAAGTTTAGAACTAGAAGAGACCAGACCTTAGGGGTCACTCAGGGAATGTGAAGCAAAAAACTCACAGAACTCAAGTTTCCCTCATGTTGCTCTATGTGTGTTGGATAAGATTCTCTAATCATCTGAAAAGCAGAGGATCAGACTTAATGATACGAGGTCCCTGCCAGCTCTAACAGCCCTCTTTTTGTCACACCGCTCCTTTCTACCTAAGTGGCAGAATCAGGATTTCAGGACTCACTTCGGTCACAGGAATCAAGGCTGGTGTTCCCAGCTTTTCTGTAACACCCACAACCGTTCCAGCTCAAGACTACCTAGGTGCCCAGCAGCGCACACAC